GGGATGAGATTAGTTGAACTGATCATTCTTTCACCTGGAATACATTAAAACTGTGAGAGAGATTCATACACTTCCTGGAGTTCAGAATTGGGTAAGCTTCTGTGAATACATTTCTAATACTGTTGGTATTCTTTCTTTATGCATTTAGTTCCCCTTACTAAACACCCAAAAACAAGATAAGGAGACAAATATCATGTTGGATTCAATGATCTTAGAGGTCTATTTCCCCCTAAATGATTCCATGATTTTACATGTTCCTTTGATGGTTTCTCTTTAAAAAAAGCACATGTACTTTTCTGACACTCGTTTTCTTTCAGTGACTTAGATGTTTTGCATTTTAAAATGAACAATTTTGCATTTCAGCAATAGATCTCTCGCCACTAATTCTAATTTATGAATTTAAGGAAGTATGTATTATATCTGTATTTTAACATTACTGCAGTGAGTAGTACCCAGTTTTTCACATGTGGAACTGAATGGCAGTAAAATCCCTGTGCACAAATACAGTGTAGCCCAGGAATTTTTGTGCTTGTTGCTCTTAGGAATGTCTAATCAGGTAATGATGGCACCTAACTTTACATTAATCATGGTGTCTCCCAAAAATACAGAGAAAAGCCAGTAATGGCAATTATCATTCATCTCCTCTCGCTGCACAGCTCCCAGAATTCACGCCCTTCTTTGATGGTTAGAAAGGGAAAAACCAAAACTGATTATTGTAAACCTCTCTGCAAAAGCTATTGCTCCCTTTGCAGCACTGTTTCAAGTGCAATGTCAACTACTGCGAGCAGTAACTCTGCAGGGAGTGCAGTGATTTATGTAAATTTATGCAAAGGGTTTCTGCAATCCTAGCATGTGTTGTGCTCCTCAAACACACCACCAGGCACTTCCTGCTACTTGATGTGGCAAAGGGAAGAGAGATTCCCCCGTTTCACACAGCAAGAGGAAAGCCTGCAGAGTGCATGTACACAAACTAGAGACCTGTGATATGTAGTTATTTTTGAAAGTCAGTAGAATTGGAAACTGCTGTAACAAAGTTCTGCCATTCCCATGGATTACTTTTAGTGGAGATCCTCCTTTGGAGGACACAAGGGATGTTCTGAGTCTCCATATGCTCTGAGAGCAACAATAGCCACCTTCTTGGGTCAACTTCTACTCGTTCTACTCCGTGCAAAATCAGGAGTTGTTCATTGACATCTGCTAAGAAAGTTGGAAGATTCTTCTGTAGGAACCAACAGTAAAGCTTTGAGATGATTGTTTGTGCATCAGTATCTTGGATTCTCCTCACGCCCACAAGAGCTGGTGTCTCACCAGTTCCTGGCTATTCAAAGCTGTAAAAGATGTCACTGGGAGTGAGAGCCAGACACCAGTTTCATGAGCTCTGAGTTTTCAGTTGCTTTGAAATATAACTGGTCCTCTGCAATTTTGATCACAATGCAGAACTCAAAACTATAAAAGAACAAAGGTAGGAAAAAAGCAGATGGGAAAACACCAGGACTGCCTTTTAATAATCCTTAATCACCATTTTCCCCCAGTCTGGATGCACATAATTGTTAAAAATAGACCACTGCACTTTGAAAGTGTAATCAGTGTAGCTCTGTACTTTTGCCAGTCTTTCTAAGAAGATGCTATTTTCATTTGAAACTGGGATTACTTAAGGATGATACTTCAAAAATGGGTGGTGATTGATTAGCCATAAGTCTAATAATGGACTGCATCAGCATTTTTTCTCCATCTTTATCGTATTTTACATAATCCATTTGAATTAATTGGATATTAAAATATTTTTGCTTGTAACCACTACAGCAGATTCACCCACGTCCACCTGGATTCTCTTGGGATCCCTCTGCCCTTGCTTACTGCTGCTCTACAGTGGGATGGGGTGGCACAGGGACATGGCTCTGGATACCTTCCTGTGTGTCTCATTGTTTTTATAGAGTGTATTCAGTTTCTGCATTGCAACAAGGCCTGAGGTAATAATTCTCCTCAGGTTTCTGACGTGCTTCATGCTGTAAGTGTGGGAGGTAATGACTCCTTCTCTTAAAAACATTTACTTGAATGTGTATGAAATGAGGGTACAGTAAAGTGATTTAGGACGTGTCCCACAGGGACAGAAATGCAGATTATTGGATCCTCTCCATTTGAGGCAGCTGTTCCTCATGTGGTTGCTTTGTCTACTGGCACTTAATGGCAAGGAGCTCCCACCAGCTTTGTGTGCACAGAACAAACTCCTTTGCTGGGTTCAGAGACTGGGAACAAGACTGGTAGGACCAGTAAGAAACTCATCAGTCCTTTGTCATGCCCAAGCTCAACCATATTCCCAGGAGTAATGGGGCAGTAATTATCAAGCTTCTTTCTGGCTGGGAAGGGGCCTACCATGGATCTGTTGCCACTGGGGTTGATGAAAATGTCAGTCATCGCAGAAGTCCCTTAAAATATAGCTCATCCAGCTGCATCTGTCCTGAAACCAAAGGATTGCAAAGCAGTAAACTTGTCATAGTGAAAAGGAGGTGCTGTTCAGTCACTATTTTGCCTTTTAAAAAATATGTACAAAAGGTGATGAAGCAGCTACTGACTTGCCTTCAACTGTAAAGAGGATACTCCTGGGAGGAGTCTACTGCTGTCTAAATTAGATAAAGCAACTTGATGCGGTTCATGTATTATTGATCTTTCAGCAATAAATCCAGAGGTGTGGTTATACACAAGAGACATAATTATGCAGATTTTTATCCTTACGGGTGTGAAACAGCAGTTTTCAGGGAGTATTTACCTAAAGTGTACCTGGTGATTAGTCCTACTGCTAATCATTAATATTCAGAAGAAAAAAATGCATGTTTTAAGAAAAGAGAAGAAGGAAATAGATTTTAAAAACTTCCTGGAAACTAAATAAATCTTTTCATTCCTGATGAAACCAATTATTTGGTTTGTTTGCAAGTGTCAGTTGAGATTGGGCTTGTGATGTATATGGAGCTGAGCATGTCCATTTTAATGGGAGGTATTCTGGAATATAAAGATGTTCATTAACTTGGCAGGAAGGTAAAGAGTGGAGGGTGGAACTGTGAAGGCAATTAAAGGACTTGCAAAGTCCTTTAAGTAGAGCCTGGAACAGAGCCAGTCTTTGAATGCAAACTAATTGAATCCTTGTATAAATTCTTTAATTACTCCAGCGTGCACACACGAAACAGTACCAGCTTGATTCTGTAGACTAGGCAGCAAGTCTGACCAGTTTTATAGAATCATTCTACATGCTCTCTGATTAAAGGAGCTAATGGAACTGGGCTGAGCAGCAGCAAATGTAGTGTAGATGGAAATCAGAACAAGGGGAATCTGCTTTTGCATCTCTTCTCCTTGGAACTCATTGTCTCCTCCTATTACATGTAGGAAATCAGTCAAGCCCTGATGGTCCACCATGCTGTTCAGTAAAATGCGACTTCCAAAACACATCATAAAAAAGACTTTAGTGTGGCAAGAAATAAGAAGAAAACCATAATCAAGGCGGGGGGTTCTTCCATGAATGACTAAAATAATAACTGTATCAAGGATGAAAAAGCTAAAAGCTCACAGGAGAATTTAAAGTGATTCCACCTTAAAAGCTTCTGAAAATGGCCCACGGCCAGATGGAAATGAGTTCATTTAACATATGACTTATCCTTTTCTTTTTCTTTGAATGATGTGTAGCTCCAAATAATCTTTCAGCTTGGTTACATTCCTGTTTTTTTTCTTCCTATTGAAAAGTTATTATCCCCCATCTCCAGCTCACTTGATTTGGATAAGGTGTGGAACAGAGTGAAGAAGTGGTGAAGTGTAATAGCCAGCTCACTAGCAGAATCATTATGTGATGTTCTCAGTGTAGTAGCTGCCTCGGGATCGGTGATAATTAGTGCATTTAGTAATAAGTCTGTGGGCAGAGTGTGTCGAGGCTGATCAAATACCTGTTTGTATGTGTTGACATGTTGCCACCAGAAGTCTGTTTTCTTATTTCTGTGTCCTGATGAGGTGTGCTGTCTAATCACAGAAATCAGGCCAAATACACTGCTGGCTGTTATATTTTATACACATTTTGTTTATACCAGGCTCTGGGAGGAAATTGTTAAAATATCTGCAGACTTGTGACAGCAAGAACTAGTTGATCTTTGCCACTAAGACAGTGTGTGAATCCTTTAGACAGGACTATCTTCTCTAGGTCACCCAGCACACAGCACAATGGGATGGTGCTCCCAGGGCAGGTTTCTTCAGCAGTGCTGCTGTTCAAGGATCAGGGGGTTCATCCTATCTGGTTGTCTTGGCTTGCAAAGCAGGATGTAACCAAATCTTGTATTCTATCACCATCTGTTGAAACCAGGTGGGGCATCGATCCTTATCTTTTCCACAACCCATCCTTCTTCCAGGAGATATCTTCTGTTAATGGGTCATTGGGTCCCATTGCATGACTGATAAAATTACATCATCCCTTTGGGAGATGCTCCACCCAGGGGGAGGAGCCAAGCCTTTCCTACCTAGATAAAAACTGGAACACCAAGGCAGACTTTTTTCCTCACTGGATTCCAGAGGAAAACCAGACCCTTCTACATCATCACTGGAGCTTTGGAGGAAAACTGCACCTTCTACAGGATTATTGCTGCAACAGAACCACATCTGTCACTGCAGGAGGATACAGCCACCATTTAATGGGACTGCTACCAACACCCTGACTGACTGATGGGGTGTCAGGTTGGATTCTGACTCTGTCAGTGTTTTGTTATTTTCTATTACTATATTTTAATTTTCATAGTAAACAACTGTTATTCCTATTCCCATAAGGACCTGAAAGCTCCTTAATTTCAAAAATATAATAATTTAGAGGAAGGGGGTTTACATTGTCCATTTCAAGAGAGGTTCTTGCCTTTCTTAACAAACACCTGTCTTTCAAACCCAGACACTGGTGTGGCCACAGATCCCAGAATCATAGAATAGTTTGAGTTGGAAGGGACCCGAAGGATCATTGAGTCCAAGTCTTCAGTGAGTAGCCCATGCAGGGATTGAACCCACATCCTTGGTGCTGTTAGCACCAGGCTCTGACCAACTGAGCCCAGAACAAGTGAGGGTGGTACAGTGGATCTGGCACCTATAAACAGTTGGATTGTGTAAATTCCTGCCAGAGAGGAAGTTTGTTTACCTTAGGGGTCTGTAGTGGCAATGGGGGAAAATGAACATGGCAGAGAATGGGATGGCAAGATTGTGAGAAAGCAGGAAATGGGTCTTGTCTTGTGGTGTGCCAGCTACTGTAGCAAAATTAATGAATAGAAGAGAAAACCTGTAAAACAAGTAAATTAGACTGTTTTCCTCATAATTATGCCACTAGTAATGATCTCCACATCAGGGCCAGTGAGAAGGTCAAAGTCAGCTCTAAATTCTCAGTCACTTTGCAGCAGGGACTGTCTCTGATCAATGTTTGCATAATATCTGTTCCAGGGACACATTCTCGGTGCTGTTATGATCTATCAGCTGGGCTGTGCTGTTACTTACAAGAGAAATGTCATATTGAAAATCCATGGGTGCAACTGTAGGTGACACAAGGAAGAGTCACAGAGCACTCACTGGAGTGTCTTCTGTATCTACCCTGAGTGGATTATATGCAGTCGTACCCAGGTGGGCTGTCCATTGATCTGGGTCACAATTGCTGAGCTACCAAAGCTGTAATTAAGCAGCATTTATTGAACTCATTTTTTGGAGTTCATCCAAAACAAGTGTGAAGCCACACATGTTCTAAACCAAACCAAAACTATCACTCACACACACTCCCAAAGCAATTTTTTGTTAGTGTCTCTCTGGATAGAAAAAAATCCAGAGTAAAATGCAATCATATGTCAAAGTCACATTAAAGGATATGAAATAATGGGTGTAAAGGATACTGGTGATTTCCTAAGTGGGCCATTGATAGAGATGGATATAGTCTTTGCAGAAGAAGGTGGAAAGAGAGAGGCTGGTGAAGTGTGAAGAGCTGGTCCAGAAGCCAGGTATTTATGCTGGGGAATGGAGGGATCTTTGTACACACATAATCATTTCCTCTTCACTTTACTGGAGTGATGGGTGATGACCTAACGGAAGGAGACATCCCACTCCTGTGTGCCAGCTCCACCAAAACCTCTGCTTAGCTGAGATATGCATCTCTAGCCCCTCTGAAAGTGAGATCATTCCAGAATTGGTGATCAGTTTGGCAGGAGTTGCTTTATAAACATCAGCAGTGGCTACATGCATAATTAATCCAGGCTCAATGCTATCTGGAAGGGGTGGGGAGGAGAGAAGGAAGAGCTTAGTTTTTTACAGTCCAAGAAAATAGTGTCCAAGTGGGATGTGGACACAGTAATTCAAATGCATCAGGGACAGGCAAGAAGGGAGGAATTTTGCTGCAAAAACTCACTTTTATTTAACCTAAAGGACGCAGGTTGCATGTGAAAAAGTACTTTTATACTCCTATTATACTCATGGGCTGCTTTAGATGAGCAGCATGGGGTGGATGGGGGAATTGCTGCTAATGGGGAATTTAGCATTTGTAACACAGCAAATGCATGAAAACACTGCTTGTAAGAGGAAGGGACTGGATTTGATGACTCTTCAAGTCTCATATCCATGATGATGGTTTTTTCCCCCCCCACATTTAACATTTGTTTTCCTGAGATCCAGTTGAAGCCATACAACAATTTGGAGAGTAGTTGTTGTATTTTGGAGTTTTTTGTTGTTTGTTTCCCGACCAGCCTTCTGGCCCTCATCCTTTGTACAGGCTGAACTTGCTGGAAGGATTCAGATGAAATGAAGGGGAATTCAGTGAGCATAGTTGGTGAGACAGTCCAGCAGAGTCACGATGCTCATGGCTCTGTGTTGAGTGGGATATAGTTGTGGTTACTGACTTTTTTTTTTTTTTGCAAAACAGCAGGTGCTGAGAGCCTGGCTGCCGAATTCTCCAAGCAATGATTACTTTGTTTCTTGGTGTTAAGTCTGTATTAGTCCCTGTAACAAGCCAGAATGGAGTTTTGACATTTAGATCTCCTCCAAATGAACCTATAGATTTCATTATACTTACACCAGAGTAGTGTTTTGCAAGTCATTAGTTTCTAGTTGAGAAGCTGATGGGTACTTTAAGATCTTAAATCCTCTATTTGCTAGAAAACGCCACACATTTTATTGCAGGTACTATTTATGTGGAAGATGTAAAAAATAAATTAATTTTTTTTTTAAATCATGGATGCAGTATCTGACCTGTGTTTCACCTAATTTTCAGTCCCATACCATTGTGATTCGCTTTCCAAACAATATTCTTTCACATAATCTTGCACTTGCATAAATTGGAAAAGACACTGATAACTGTGAGTGCACACCAGCTGAGCTGCCTTTGGTATTTAAATCTTCATTTAGGAGGTTTAAATGAAAAATAAATGTTTTTATATGGGTAGCTGGGCGGTTCTTTCTGTTCTAGTGGGAGGAATTAGCTAAACAAAGTTATGTTTGGGCATCCTTTACCCTGCCCTCTTTGATTTTTGCATTTATGTACATGCTACACAATCAAAATACTCTTTTTAGGGTAGGGGTTTGGGTTTTTTTGATTTTGGGGGGTTGTGGAGGGGAGGGTGGGTTGTTTTTGGATTTATTTTGGGTTTTGAGGTGTTTTTTGTTTGAGGTTTTTGTTTGGGTTGTTAGTTTGTGGGGTTTCTGTTTGTTTGTTTGTTTTTAGTTAATAATGAAGAGAAACATGGGGGACATGGTCTGACTCTGTTTCCTTGCACAATTCGTGCTGTGCTTCTGCCTCACTGAAAGGAGGGAATTTGTCACAGAATCACAGAATATTCCGAGAGAAAGGGACCCAGAAGGATCATTCAATGCAACCCTGAAGTGAATGGGGAGTTGCCCTTAGGGTGGCTGTGGAATACACAGCAGGGAAGGAGTGTCTGTTCTGCTCTCATCTTACTCTTCACACGGAAAACAGGAGCAGATAAATTTAAAATCAGGGCTAAAAGGCCAATCTTGTGTCTGTGTGAGAAGAAAAGAACCACAAGACTTGCTCTTGGGGGTCAGTGGTGTCAGAATTCAAGATGACCTTTTTTCTCCTTTGTACTTCCAGTTTCTCCTGAACTGGTTCTCTTTAGAGGTCATGTTGTCTTGTTGCTATTCAAGCCAACAGAGCTGATAAAAGGCTGTGATAACCTCACATCTAACAGCTTATTTATTTATCTGTTTAAATACTGTAGCTGTTTGGCTGCCCAGCACTGTGGCAGAGGCTTTGACGTTGGCAGGAGTAGAGAGGCAATGCTTTGATTTTGTCCCATCTTTGGCAGGGGGACACCATTGCTTCCTGTGACTGCTCTGGCGTGATGAAGCTCTGGGACATGCGGAAGTTGCTCCCCATTCTATCGATCGACGCCGGCCCCCATCCTGCCAACCAGGTCTCCTTTCATCGCTCTGGTAGGGCTCTAAAACAACTTTTTCCCCCTAAGACAAGGTTTGTTTTGCAATCTCTCTAATCTCTCTCTAGTTCTGGAGCCAGATAACATGTGTGAAGCAGCACAGATGTGTTAATTTTGAAGAAGAAATGCCTGATTGTGCCAGTGATCAATACATTTGTTTTCTATGGGCTAAACTGCCAAATTGGACTGCTGCTCCATTCATATAAAACGAAAACTGCATGATAACAAAGAGTACAATTAATTGCAACATAAAATACAGAACTGATCAATGGGGGTAAAAAGCTTAGAGAGATTACCTGTATTCCAGAGGTGTTTAATCTGCATTACTGTTTGTTCTTTTATTTGCTAATTCTGGAGTTGCATTTCATAACCAATCTTACAAAGTTCTCTTATAATTGCCTCAGAACTTCATCGTGCTGACAGGGCTGCTTACTAGGCACAAGGAATTGAATTAACCAGTTATTTTTCATCATCAACCACATATTACCATGTCAGCAATACTATGAGTGCACATTGCATTTTCATTTGAAGAGGGGCCGTTCTAAAACATTCTTGTTTTAAAACAATCTTCAGTTCCAAAGCAAAGTTCCAATCTTCAGTTCAGCAGTCATGTTGCAGCACAGAATTAGATCCTAGCTTAGGAAATGGTTTTACTCAAAGCTAGTGCAACATGATATAATACATATGTAACATAATATATATAGGCACGTTGAAAAATAAGTCTACATTTGCACTATATGTTCATAAAACATAAAGCTTTGATCTAATATGAGAGATAATAGGGAATCATTAAAGAAAAATAATAGGATAGGTGTTTTGTCATAATGACTCACATACTGTGGAATGCATATTATCAATATATTGAGTCACTTGGCAGAAAACTTTGACATCAAGTTCCATATTATTTGTGTAGTGATTTCATGGATCTCTCTGCTGTATCATTAAATAAGGTATTTGCATTTTCCAAGGGAGAAAAGAAATGCATTGATACTGTCCATTTTTGGGCAGTTTCCCAAAGACGAGTTTAACCAATATTGTATTTATATGTGTAATTTGGAATAAGAGCTCATTTTTTTTCTTCAGGAGGATTTGAAGAAGTTTCACATCTTAGTTTATGGTGTATTTTGTTGGGTCATTAGCAGGGGAACCACATCCCTGAAAAATGCAGTTGCAATATTTCTGCCAGATGGGAAATTCCCATTAGAAAGGTTATCAGCTTCAAGTAATCTAAATGGGCAGGTTTTTCCATCATTTGGACAAAATCCAAAATTTTCTCTGCAGGAATACCCACACAACAGAGATATCAAATTGGGGTGGATGATCGCAGAGAGGCAGAATGCAAAAGGATGGAATTCCAGCTGGCTGAGACACGCTATACCTGCTGCAAGAGGGACAGAGTAGATAAAAGATATCTGGTGTTTAACAGCCTGTTGGGGATGGGACATCTGCCCCAGTCAGGACCTCTTCCCCTGGAGCAGCTTGGGTTGATTTTCCTTATCAAAACATGGCTCAGTTTCCAGCTGTGTCCCTCAGTCTCTCTGGCTGATGTTACACCACACAGTGTAAAATACTTGACTGCATTAATAGTCAGAGACACAAATTGTTCAGCTCTTACAGGTGGATTTAATTACTAGATTA